CCTAGAGTTGTACATACTGCAAATATTGCTTTTAAAAAGGAGGTAAAGGAAGCTTGCTAATGATGACACTATGTGAATAACAGGTATCGATATGGCCGTGAAGAAACCTAAGAAACGAGGAATGGTCCTGCACTTTCAGCCTTTATCACTTGCATTTGATCATGTGAACTACTATGTTGATATGCCTGCTGTAAGTCCTCTATGTGTCCTTATACAACATGCAGCATTACCATATGATAAAATTTTAAAGCTCTTTGCTTTTAAAGAAAACAACTAAAGTGATTTAATAAATATATATTTGAAAACACTGACAAATGGGAGCCAGACAACTACCCTTTTAACTTAGCAATGCACTGTAACCAAAATTGATTAATTTCCAAATCTCTGTTTTTGTTTGTATAAGCTGTAGATGGAGGTATGTTGTATGAACTTTATAAAAGTTATAAAAAAATAAAAATAAATAAAAAAACTCAAATGAAGGATATTTTCAATATGTGTGGTCATTTGCCGAAATAAATGCTGAAAGTTTTGAGTTATTCATCAGGAAATGAAGAGCCAAGGAATTGAAGAGGATCGCCTCCAATTGTTACAAGATGTTAGTGGTGCTTTTAGGCCTGGCATTCTAACAGCATTGGTTGGTGTAAGTGGTGCAGGAAAGACTACCTTAATGGATGTGCTAGCAGGGAGGAAAACTAGTGGTTCTATTGAAGGAAGTATCAGCATTTCTGGTTACCCAAAGAACCAAGCAACTTTTGCCCGAGTTAGCGGTTATTGTGAACAAAATGATATCCATTCTCCAAACGTAACTGTTTATGAATCTCTTCAGTACTCTGCCTGGATGCGCCTTGCTAAGGATATTACAAAGGAAACACGACAGGCATCATCTTTTGACACAAACTTTACTTTTTTATTTTATTTTATTTTATTTTTTTTAAGTGTCTGTACCAAATGCAGTCTTGGGTCTCCCATATAGTGTTACACACACAGATATATAGGGATATAGGGATTGCCTCATAAATACTGATTGTGTTCAGTTTAGTTGTTGCTATATCAACAAGTCATGGATTTGTCATATTGTATTTATCATACTTTTTCTCCCTTCTGATATCTAGATGTTTGCGGAGGAAGTCATGGATTTGGTTGAGCTACAGCCACTGAGGAATTCCTTAGTAGGCCTTCCTGGAATAAATGGTCTGTCAACAGAACAGAGAAAGAGATTAACCGTGGCTGTAGAGTTGGTTGCGAATCCCTCTATAATCTTCATGGATGAGCCAACATCAGGTCTTGATGCAAGGGCTGCTGCAATCGTCATGCGTACAGTGAGAAATACTGTGAATACAGGGAGGACTCTTGTCTGCACTATTCATCAGCCAAGCATAGACATTTTTGAAGCCTTTGATGAGGTATCTGTCATTTCTCATAGTCAGAAATTCGTAACAAAATCTTCTATTTGTAATTGTTGTTAGCCATTTACTTTAATTCACTTTGATCATTTTTCTCACAGCTACTTCTGATGAAGAGAGGTGGACAAGTTATTTATGCCGGACCCCTTGGCCGCTGTTCTCAAAGGCTGATAGAATATTTTGAAGTGAGTATCACTTGTTAAATGGTCATTAGAAACTGATGTGTTATAATTCCCAGTACTTTCAGTCAAACAAAATGTCAAACAAATTTCTTTAACCTCCCGCAGGCTATTCCAGGAATTACTAAGATCAGAGATGGTTACAATCCTGCAACATGGATGTTGGAAATTAGTTCTCCTACAGTTGAGACACAACTCAATGTGGACTTTGCTGATATATATCAGAAGTCTGAACTTTATAAGTAAGTGGGACATTTAGGCCCTTAATCGTCACTTGCATCATTGTGCTGCATTTAGAGCTAATCATTCTTCAGTAATAGGCTAACTCAAAGTTTATATCATTTGCTTCCTCCTTCCCAGGAAGAATCAAGAACTTATTGAAGAGCTAAGCACTCCAGTCCCAGGATCCAAAGACCTTCACTTCCCCACTAAATACTCTCAGTCTTTTCTTACTCAATGCAAAGCTTGCTTCTGGAAACAACATTGGTCATACTGGAGGAACCCGCCATACAATGCCATCCGGCTCTTTTTGAGCATGGTTGTCGGTACTATTTTCGGACTTATTTTCTGGAACAAAGGAGAAAAAACGTAAGTCATAAGGTCTCTAATTTTTCTGCTCTTGTCAAGATATTTTATTAAAATAAGCATGATGGTCACGGCTTAGTTATCCGTAATAGGATTAAGCATGCAACCCTAATTGGCATAGCCTCACTTACTGGCGCATTATTCTGAATTTTTACTGGTTGATATTGCATGACTGAAAGAAAAAAAGGAAAAGGTGAGAAAATAAGAAAAGCTATTAACCTCATTATCTTGTTACACCATAGAACTCTGCATAGATACAATTATAAGTTCTATCTATCTCATTAGGAAATCATGTCATGCACCTCTGTTCATCTTACCAGCCTCTACAATCAAGTACACTAATCTTTGATTTTGTACTGTTACATGTTTCTAAAGTTTATTGGAAAATTTTATCTTAATAGACACAAGGAACAAGACCTACTCAATCTGATGGGAGCCATGTATTCTGCCATTATCTTCCTGGGAGCCACCAACACTGCCTCAGTGCAGCCTGTTGTGGCAATTGAAAGAACAGTATTCTACCGCGAAAGAGCAGCAGGGATGTACTCTGCGTTGCCTTATGCATTTGCCCAGGTAAAACAAGCCGAAACCTTGATATTAAGCCGAGTAGGAAAATATGATGCAAGAGTAAATTCAAAGCAACAACTTTTGTCATAGTCAGTATATTAAAAATCTTATGTGCTGCAGGTGGCAATTGAGACAATTTACGTTGCCGTCCAAACTCTGGTGTATAGTCTCATCCTTTATTCAATGATCGGCTTCCCTTGGAGAGTTGACAAGTTTTTTTGGTTCTACTACTTCATATTGATGTGCTTTATCTACTTCACATTGTATGGCATGATGCTTGTAGCTCTCACTCCAGGCCACCAAATTGCAGCCATTGTTATGTCCTTTTTCCTAAGCTTCTGGAACCTCTTCTCTGGTTTCCTCATCCCTAGGACGGTAAGTATCTGCATTCCGTAGGCACACATACAAACTATGAATTGCAAATCTTTGAGTTAACTAGTCCACAGATTAACAAGAGATTAACATGTTAAGAAGATTTTCTCATTACAAAGCAATCATATACAACAATGCTAATCATTTTTGTTTGACTTAAAACTCAGCACTAGCAAGCCTCTGACAAATTGGTCTTTAGGAAAGCTGCCATGATTAGAATCAGATCTAACTTTGACGGAGCTAATGATTAGAGTCATAAGTCTATATAGTGGCATGATAATATTCCTCATGTTTTATGGAGCAAATGATTTTAGTGAAGAGAAAGGATGACAGCCTCCCCATTTAATGACTTTAAGTAGTTATTTAAAAACAAATTATGGCATTTTATACTTGCTCATTTTTTCAGCAAATACCAATATGGTGGAGATGGTACTACTGGGGTTCTCCGGTGGCTTGGACAATCTATGGACTTGTGACTTCCCAAGTGGGAGACAAAACTTCATTAGTTGAAGTTCCAGGACAAGCTCGCATGTCAGTGCAGACTTACCTTAAGACGAGATTAGGCTTTGAATATGACTTCCTTGGAGCCGTTGTTGTTGCCCATATTGGTTTCGTGCTCCTATTCTTGTTCGTCTTTGCCTACGGCATCAAGTATCTCAACTTCCAAAGGAGATGAGGAAGCATACTGGTTTTACTATCTGTCAAAGTTTTGTAAATTTTTCACAGCTCCAATTGTATTTGTTCTCGAAAATACTGATATATGTTGAAAAAGGAAGTGAGATTTGCTTTACAAATCAGAGAGGCAGCACATTGCTGGATGGAAGTGATTAGGCTTCCCAAAAATATCATTATTGAGAGGCTAGTGGTCAAAACAGACGCATTTTGAGCACACGACAAGGCACAAATTTCACCAGAGAAAAAGGATGACAATGTTGGAGTGGATCTTTCTGTGTGGCATTTGTTAGTATGTCCTTGGAGTGGATCTTTCTGTGAGGCATTGAAAGAGACATTCAACCACAGAAGTTATGTGTGTGTTTAGGGTGTTACTTGTCCTTGGTAAAACCGACTTGCGAGGAAAATATACCCATGTCTTTCAGTGTTACCTTGAATTATAACCAACATTGTATGTTTTCATATATAAGTCCTTCAGTCTTACCCTTTGTGTACAAATTTAATGTTAGAAATGCATTAAATCTTTTCTAATATTAAATCAGGAACACAAGGATGTTGGCATCGCTTGCTAAACAACCTGGTAATTTAAGCATGTTTTGTTGTCAAGACTGTCGATATATTAAGTTTATTCTTGCTTGAGTATATGTTTCAGATTCATATATAAACCATTCTGAATTTGCAGTTTGAAAGATAGTGTAATTTGCATCTTAGGGAGGCCATTTTTTGCACTCACACTTCGCACTTCCCTTATTTTTATTGCCTACACTTTTTTTTTCTCTTCTTCTTAATACAAATGATAGTCCAAAATACAAGGGGTAGGCACACACGCACTACCAAGGTACCATTGGAGTTCGAATCTGAGATAACTAATATACTAGTCAAAGGCCTTTTTTCACTGAGCTAGATCTCGTTGGCACCTACACTCATCTTTTATCAAAACATAAAACAAAAAACAAAAAAACGAGCGTGCAAGTGCACAAGATAGGAGTGTGGAAATTGTCACCCATCTGTTACAAACAAAACTATAATCTACTTCCACAAGAACAAAACCAAAATTACCAAAATTTAAATTTAACAAAAGGCAAACCTCCTTGGATCATAAAAAATCCATCTGCAGCATCACGCATTTTAATAGTTGTGTTTAAACTTTTTAGATTGTGATCTTTTCAGTTGGCATTTCCTTCCATTCAAATAATGAAAGGCAAATTTTTTAAATTGTTTATTTTTATAGAATCCAAACGGCATTTCATTCATGAAACTAGTCCAACACAGGATAGGCAGCCTCAGTAATGGAGTTAAGCCAACTTGGCCTTTTACAAACATGACTACAAATTACAACAAATCAGCTTTTTTATATAATGGAAGGTACCACGTCTTATATGACGCGCAAAATATAAGGCTTTCCATGAGTTCAGAATAGAGAGTATTTGCACTAATAATAAAAGCTAGAGGTGACTTCAGTTCTTATGCATGATATTTTCTGTTCTGTTTTCTTTCGAGTATCTTTTGAGGAAAGTACAACTAAACCTCCTTGAATTAGTGTTTGTGCACAGCTATGAGCTACCTCTCATCAGGTTTGACAGGAGCATCGGCCAGGTCCTGAATCTCCTTCTTGCTCTTTATCACAGTCCAGTTCCTGGTATGGAAATCTACTTTATCCAAGTCCTCCACAATCCCCATATACCCATATAGAATTTGCTCCTCCACGTTGTCTCCC